CGGAGCTAGCAAGGAGGCAGGACCACTCCTGCAGGCCCAGCCCAGCCCAGCCCACCTTTGCTCTGCTGCCCACAGAGGTGGTTGTGACCCCCTTGGAGGAGCTTCGAGGCCACAAGTCTCTGGTGAAGCTCCGGAGTCGGCAAGAGCGAGACCTGCGGGAGCTGCACAAGAAACATCAGCGGAAGGCATTCGCTCTCACTCGCCGCTTGCTGGACAGCTTGGCCCAGGCCCGGGCTGAGAGCAGATGCCGGCCGCGGCCGGGTGTGCTGTGAGTGTCCAGCCTGCCTGTGTGTGACTGTGCTTTGTGCATCGATGCGAATGTGGGGGGGTGCACGTGCGTTCCTCCTGCGCTGGGTGGGCACGGAGCATGGCCAAGGGCCTCTCCTTGACCCCCAAGGAGGCGGCTTTGGTGCAAGGAAGAGAGGGGAGCTTCCCTTGCTCAGTCCCACCCTCTTCCTACCTGAGAGCAACACCTCATCGGAAGACACCTGTGAGGAGCATGTGTTTTGAGAGACTGTTGCCCAGACAGGCTCCCATCATTTGGGTGAAGCGAACCAGCCTCCTCATGGGCGTAATAAACCCTGCCCCAGGCTGGCCTCCATCATTGCTGGCTGGGACGTGCCCTGCCACCCTCCGCCCTCCCAGCCCAAGTTCATGTGATGAACTTAGTGTCACCCAGAGGGCTCTTCACACAGAGGCGGCGAGGATGAGAAGGAGGCGGCGGAGGAGGCGAGGCGGTATCTGGAGTTCCAGGAGAGGCAGGTGCAGAGCCTGCTGGAGCTGCGGGAGGCCCAGGCGGATGCCAAGGCCGAGCGGAGGCTGGAGCACCTGAGACAGGTGCGGGGTAAGGCGGCGTCTGCCTCTGGGACACCCCTGTCACCGGCCTGTCTCACTTCCTGGTTACCTGTGTCCACAGGCTCTGCAGCGGCTCAGGGAGATTGTCCTGGATGCTCACACAACTCAGGTGAAGAAACTAAAGGAGATGAACGACAGGTGAAGGCAGAAGATCTTGTATGGGTAGGGCGGGGGCCTCCCTGGTGCCAGGATGAGGGCAGAGCCCCCAGTCTAGCCACTGACCCTTCCTCTTCCTCCACTGGCTCCTCCAGGGAGAAGAAGGAACTGCAGAAGATCCTGGACAGGAAACGCCACAACAGTATCTCAGAGGCCAAGACAAGGGAGAAACATAAGAAGGAGGCGTAAGGGCACAGGGGCCGGGAGCCATACGGGCGCTGGGCAGGCGGGGCTGCGTGCCCGGCACTGAGCCCATCCTGCCTTGCTCCTGTGCAGGGAACTGACAGAGATTAACCGTCGCCACATCACCGAGTCGGTCAACTCCATCCGTCGGGTGAGTAAGGCTTAGGTGCCACTCTAGCCCACCCCTCTTCCTTCAGTCATCAGAAACCCTTCTCTGTGGTGCTGGCCCTGGGGTGACATTGCCCTGGAGGGGTTTCTAGAGCCTTTCCCTCTGGACCCCACAGCCACCTCAAGCCCACTCCATCTCCAAAGCCAGCTGTCTATAACAGTGCCCCATGCTTTGGAGTCTGGGCCTGGAGCATTTGCCATATGGATTAGTATTTCAGAACCCTGGCCACACAACCCTGGGAGACTGGTCCCTCCCTTAGAGACCCTCTTGTTCCCCTACTGACAGCTGGAGGAGGCCCAGAAGCAGCGGCATGAACGCCTTGTGGCTGGGCAGCAGCAGGTCCTGCAGCAGCTGCTGGAAGAGGAGCCCAAGGTGAGTCCTTGGGTGAGGTGAGCACTCGGGTGGCAGGCAGAGTGCTGGCTGCCTGGCCTGTGATCCCTCTCCTCCTCCCACAGCTGCTGGCCCAGCTGGCCCAGGAATGTCAGGAGCAGCGGGCCAGGCTGCCCCAGGAGACCCGCCGGAGCCTGCTGGGCGAGACGCCGGAGGGGCTGGGGGACGGACATCTGGTGGCCTGTGCCAGCAATGGTCACGCGCCTGGGAGCAGTGGGCACCTGTCCGGCGCTGACTCGGAGAGCCAAGAGGAGAATACAAAGCTCTGAACTGGCTGAGCAAGAGGTGGCCACAGGGCCAGGGTGGGCACTGGGAGGGCCGGAAGCTAAGACACTAATGCTTTTTTTTTTTTTTTTT